AAAAAGGAAGAAAGAAAGAAGGAAAAGATAAAAAGGACATAGAAATAAAGAGGGGAAAAAAGAAGGGGGAATGAAGGAAAAAAGAAACTACAAAGCAAAACGATGAAAGATATGCAACATACATACCCTGTATGGTTGTCCGTAAGCATTGCTATCTGCGTCAGAATCGCTTTCATCATCGTCATCGTCATCGTCATCATTACCATCATCATCATCATCATCATCAGCATCAGCATCCACACCATCATCATCAACACCACCATCACCACCATCATCATCATCATTATCATCAGCATTATCCATATCATCATCTTCATCATCATTCTGAGATGATTCCTCTTGAGTATCCATGAGCTCGTCTTCATCTTGTGAGGCTGTTGTATTCTTGTCCGTCTCTTTCTTATTCAAACCAAGCCACTCGCTTTCTGGAATCTAAACAAGATGGCTTTGCGTAAGTTCTAAAGAAATAACAATGATGACTATTTCTTGCAAACGTTTTTATAAGAACAATCTGAAGTTTCTATCAAATCTTCGTTATTCATCATCATGGGGCCGTATTGAATGTATTAAAAGTATCAAAGGTTTAAAACATCAATGAACTAATTTTGACCTGTTWGATTTAGACACCACACACAAGCGAATGGGTTCGGAAACTTTTTTTTTTATTACTTACAGGTCCACCGGAGACGTAGATAGAATTGGCAGCAAGATGATGAAGCTATCGAAGAAAAAAAACATGGCATTGTGATCCATTGTATATTTCTGATATTCATTATACAGGCATTTGTTACGAATATAGTTTAATGTATACATCTTCGTATGGTCTTGACAAGTCACCGCACTTATCAGTTTAATATACATGCATTTTTAGAAAAAAAATATGTAATAGAAGTAAACGCTAATCAAGTCCTCCAAAGCACTGCTATCAATAGCAACTGTCTYAAGAACAAGATGCTCAGAAGAGTATCGCTTTCTGAGGTGATATTTCCTTAATTTCCCTGCCTCTACAGGATTGATGCTACTGAAAAAGTATTAAATCCCCAGCTATGATGTCTTGTSCAGRGGTTGAGGGCYTTAATTTCAATTGCCTGATACATAATCTAACAGTTAATCCCAAGAACTCGTAAATAACACAAAAACCCACTGATTCTCACCGGTGTCCAGCCATCGGTATCAACCGTCTTGACGTCTGCTCCCTTCTCGTTTACCAAGTACACCACTCGTTCCTTCATTTTGTTAGTCAGTAGTTTTCTGGTTGTCTGCGTTAGCAATGTCTGACCATTGTCGTCAGGGAAGTTGACGTTACAGTCATCAAGCGACAGAAGATAGTCTGTGCACTTGATGTGGTCTTTCATCATGGACAAGGCAAGGGCTGTGGTCTACAAAGAAACAATGTCAAGTGGTATGTTTATTAAGACCGGTGCAAACGGTCTCAACATTTGCTTC